AATCAAGTGAGATGGGTTTTGTTAGGACAACTTGTTAGTTCTTTTTTTTTTGGTGGTGCTGGGGATTGAACACAGGGCCTTATGGATACTAGGCAAGCACTCTACCAACTGAGCTATGTTCCCAGTCCAGTCCCCAGTCCCAGTTAGTTCTTGCCTTTTCTTTCTTTGTAACATAAGGCGTAAAGGCCTAAACAGTGTGTGTTGATTAGCACTGAGAGTTCAGAGACTGGTGAGAAACCTGTAGGCCTTTAATAGGCTATAGGACTTGAGGGATTGAACTTTAACCAAGTGAAGAACTAACTGGTGTGGGAGGAGAGGGCACATATTTCAGCCAAGAGGATCTTCATGGCCAGGAGCACAGAACTGAAAGTGAGTTTTGCTCGTGGGAGGAGCAAATTATTTTGAGCAATGTTGGGATGGTAAGATGTGGTGGTGAAGGCTTCAAGGGCCAAATATGTGCTGCTTCTGAGACATCTGAAGGAATGGACCCTTCTAGGGAGGGAACTTTTTTTTTTTTTTTTGGTATTGAGGATTGAACCCAGGGCATTTAACCACTGAGCCACATCCCCAGCCCTTTTTTTTTTTTGTGTGTGTATTTTATTTAGAGAAAGGGTCTCACTGAGTTGCTTAGGGCCTCGCTAAGTTGCTGAGGCTGGCTTTGAACTCCTGATCTCCTAGCCTCAGCCTCTCCAGCCGCTGGAAGTATAGGCAAGTGCCACCATGCCTGGCTTTAGGGAGGGAAGTGAGGTCGGCAGCTGAACAGTAAGGTCACCTCTTTCCACCTTTTTCCAGGATGATGACCGGGGTGAGGAATGGGAGCGACATGAAGCACTGCATGAAGATGTGACCAGGCAGGAGCGGACCACTGAACGGCTCTTTGAGGAGGAGATTGAGCTTAAGTGGGAGAAGGGTGGCTCTGGCCTAGTATTCTACACTGATGCCCAGTTCTGGCAGGAGGAAGAAGGAGGTAAGGTGGTGTTAGTCAGCTTTCTGTCACTGTAACAAGTACCTGAGATATCAGCTTCTAGAGAGAAAAGGTTTATTTTGGTTCACTGGTTTTATTCCAAGGTCAGTTGACCCTGGGGCTTTTTTGGGGGGAAGGGACTGTGTGAGGCAGCACACTGACAGGGAAGCACATAGTGCACCAAGCCCATTCATCTCATGGCTGGGATGCAAAGAAGGAAGAAACCAGGGTGTAATAGGCCCCTTTGAGGTCACACCCAAAAATAACCCAAAAAACTCTCACTAGGCCCCACCACTTTGAGACAGGGTTTCCTTATGTTGCTAGGCTGGTCTCAAACTCCTGGGCTTGCCAGGTGTGGTAGTGCACGCCTATAATCCCAGTGGCTTGGGGCTGAGGCAGGAGGATCACGAGTTCAAAGCCAGCCTCAGCAAAAGCGAGGTACTAAGCAACTCAGTGAGACCTTGTTTCTAAATAAAATATAAGAGCTGGGGTTATAGCTTAGTTGGTAGAGTGCTTGCCTCACATGTACAAGGCCCTGGGTTCAATCCACAGCACAACACACACACACACACAAAATTAATATATTCTATTAAATAAAATACAAAATAGGGTGGGGGTGTACCTTAGTGGTCTAGTGCCCCTGAGTTCAATCCCAGGTAACCCCCCAAAAAAAAAACCTCCTGGACTCAGGTGATCTTCCTGCCTCAGCCTCCTGTTTAGCTGGGACTACAGGCACATGCCACTGTGCTATAGGCCCTCCACCCTTAAAAGTTTTCATCATCTTTCAAACTGGGATCGAGCTAATTTTAACATGGGTTTTGGGAGGATGTTTAAGATCCAAATTTTTGGAGGATGGCACTCAGGCAAGAGCAGTTGAACTCTCTATGCTCTTTCGGGGTTCTTTGTTCCCCACGGTGGATTCCCTGACAGTGAACCCAAACAAAAAGCTAGGAAACAGGCTTACTTTTATTGTATATGAGAGAGCAGTCATCCCTTTTTGGAGTGAAGGATCAGTGGGATGGACAGAAAAACACCTCAGTTCCAATTCTGAATTACCCTCCTGAAAATACAAACAAAAGCCTCAGATTCTGGACCATGTTTAGCTGTCAACAGAATTGGCAGTTCTTAACCCACTCTGCTGAATGCTTTTCTCTCTCTGCAGACTTTGATGAACAGACAGCTGATGACTGGGATGTGGACATGAGTGTGTACTACGACAAAGGTACAGGGCAAGGGGTGGCAAAAGGGGTAGAACTGTTGTCCTGGCCTTGGGGTGACACTTTGCCAGGCGTGCTTAGCTGACTGAAACAGATATGAGACCAGCTCCTTTGCTGTCTTCAGGGGACTGGTTCCATGATCCTCACAGATACCAAAATCTGCAGATACTCATGTCCCTTATGTAATAAAATGGCACAGTATTTGCTTACAGCATACACACATCCTTTCATATGCTTTACGTTATCTCTTCAAAAAAAAAAAAACATCTTCAGATGACTTAATACAATGCAAATGCTATAACCATATTATATTGTATAATTTGGGGGAAAAAAGTTCCAGAGTATTTTCAATCCACGGTTGGTTGTTTCCACAGATGCAGAACCAGTAGATATAGAGGGCTGACTACTTGACATCTTGAGTACTTTAAGTGTTGGCTGTTTTTTTTTGTTTTTTTTTTTTTGCTGTGTGAGGAGAAAGGACACATGAGGACAGTCCTCAGGGAGGTCTGAGTCTGATGAGTAGGCCCTGGTGAAGTGGGGTGATCAGGAACTCAGGCTCTGATCAGAGCATAGCTCTGAAGTAAAAAATTACCTGGGGTTGGGGGGAGACCTGGGTTCTGATTTCATCTGTCATTTGTTGGCTCTGTGAGTTTTCTGTACCAAAATTTCTTTATCTGTATGATGAGGAGAGCCATGGTTCCTACTCTTGGCACACTCCCCTCTAATGAGTGAAAGAAGGTAATATAATTGGATACCAAGAAAATATATCAGTAAATCTTGTGAGGGAATCCTAGAAACCTGGTCCCTCCCCTGCCCCTTCATTGAGAAGAACCCTTCTGCAAACTGGGTTCTGGTTCCTCAGATGGTGGAGACAAGGATGCCCGAGACTCTGTCCAAATGCGGCTAGAACAGAGACTCCGTGATGGCCAGGAACATGGCTCTGTGATTGAACACCAGGTGGGCACCTTTGAGCGCCACACAAAGGTGAGTGAGCACTGTGCCCATTCCACTGACCCCTTTCTTTTCCTTCTTTGTCTTCATTCCTTGTCCCATCCCCAATCCTCATGCTCTAGGAAGGAGCCCCATTTCTTGAATCTTGTCCCTTCTCTCTACAGGGCATTGGCCGGAGAGTGATGGAGCGGCAGGGCTGGGCTGAGGGCCAGGGTCTGGGCAGCAGTTGCTCAGGAGTACCTGAGGCCTTGGATGGTGATGGCCAGCATCCCAGATGTAAGCGTGGATTGGGGTAAGTGTGGCTTAGGGACTTCCCAGGGACTCAAGCCAGCCTTCCTGCTAGTTTTGGGATAGGTGCCGAGTGTCCTAGGGGATGAACTTCAAAGCAAAGTTAGAAGGAAAAAGTGGATCTGAGCCGGACGTGGTGGTTCACACCTGTAATCCCAGCAGCTCGGGAGGCTGAGGCACAAGGATGGCGAGTTCAAAGCCAGCCTTAGCAATGGTGAGGCACTAAGCAACTCAGTGAGACCCTATCTCTAAATAAAAAATACAAAATAGGGCTGGGGATATGGCTCAGTGGTTGAGTGACCCCAAGTTCAATCCCTGGTACCAAAAAAAAAAGTAGATCTGGCACTATTCATTTTTATTTTAGACCAAGCCCTAAGACAAGGTAGTCATTGATCTCCTGGGAGAGTTTTTACTTTTAGTCTGAGTTTGGACTTGAAAGCTGTTAGGGAGTCTGTAGTGATGTGATAGAAGTTCTATCTGTGGTCCCTTGTTGCTGATACTATCTGTCAATAGATAGATCTGGAGGCTGGAGAGCAAAATTCCAGATATAAAGCTCTTTTTGGGGGGCTGGATGTGTGGCTCAGTGGTAGAGTGCTTGCCTGGTATGCACAAAGCTTTGGGCTGGATTCCCAGCAGAGGAGTACCCCCCCCCCCCCGAAAAAAAAAAAGGCAGCTGTGTCTTTCAGACACAGATATGTAGCAGCTATTTCCCTGTCCTTTTCCAACCCCTTTACTGAGTTTTCAGAGAGAGCAGCCCTCTTATTGAGAGCTCTTTCCAGGTACCATGGAGAGAAGCTTCAGCCATTTGGACAACCGAAGAGGCCCCGTGGAACTGGCTTGGGGCTCATCTCCACCATATATGATGAGCCTCTACCCCAGGACCAGAGGGAGTCACTGCTCCGACGTCAGCCACCCACCAGCATGAAGTTTCGGACAGACATGGCCTTTGTGAGGGGTTCCACTTGTGCCTTGGACACCCCCTCAGAGCCTAAGTGAGGGTTGGAGGCTTCCTTGCAGGATGACAGCCCTCTGCCTGGGCCTTGTTTACTACCGAAGCAGAAAGGAGTCTGGAAGCAGCAATCCCTGGCTGCTTGTCCGTTCTCTACCTCAGGGCTTTTTACAGCCCCCAATCCTTGGATATTAGGGCTTAAGGACCTTTCCTCATTCGTCTCCTACCCTTAGTCCCTGTTTGGGCTTGCGCAGTACCTTGAGCTGGACTGCCTGAGACCATTAGCACAATCTTCACTGGGGGTCTGAAGGAAGCCCCATGGAGGTCAGAGAGAGGGCGAAAGGAAAGGATTTGTGGTCCCTGGAAGAGAAGGTTTTTGGACAGACAATCCACCGCCTCTGCCCCCACTGGCTGGGACCCAGCTACGGGGAGTCCGCCTGAGGTGGCCCGGGCCTGCGACGTAATGGGAGAATAAAAAGGTTTACGACCGGACATCGCTTTTCTCTTCTTATCCGGGCCTGGGGAAAAGTCAGAGGATCAAGACTGGTGCTGTTCGGCTCGCCAAGTCCCCAAGACAGACCCACGCTCCCACAGCGAAAGTCCCTTCTGTGTGGCCACGCCCAGCTTGGTAGCGCCGCTGCCTTAGGGCGGGACTTCCTCTCCCGGCCCCGCTGCTTCCGACGCCGCCCGGAAGTCGAGAGCTGGTGCCTTCAGTACCGGCCCCCTTTCCTGCCCTTTCCTGGCGCGGGTTCCCTAGGTTGCGGTCGTCATTCCCTGCAGAGACCACGTCGGTGGTCTCCCGCCCGTAGTTTCATCTCCTATACAGGTGTCCGCCCTGTTTTCCCGTTGGGTTCATCTGTTCGGTTCCGGACCACGTTCTCCCCATGGCGGGAGCCGCTCCGGCCACGGCCTTCGGGCAGGCTGTGATCGGCCCGCCGGGCTCAGGAAAGACCACGTATTGCCTGGGCATGAGTGAGTTCCTGCGCGCGCTGGGCCGGCGCGTGGCGGTGGTGAACTTGGACCCGGCTAACGAAGGGCTGCCATACGAGTGCGCTGTGGACGTGGGCGAGCTAGTGGGACTGGGTGATGTGATGGATGCGCTGAGGCTGGGACCCAACGGCGGCCTGCTTTACTGCATGGAGTACCTGGAAGCCAACCTGGACTGGCTGCGGGCCAAGCTGGACCCACTCCGCGGCCACTACTTCCTCTTCGATTGCCCAGGCCAGGTGGAGCTGTGCACGCACCACGGCGCCCTTCGCAGCATATTCTCGCAGATGGCTCAGTGGGATCTCAGGGTGCGTCTCGGTTTGGGCAGGTCCATTTTGCAGGTGGAGCAACTAAGGAAGACAGGGTCCACGCCCTCATGTTACACAGTGACCTAGGGACCAAGTTGCTTTGAAGTAAAAACAGTTATGAGCTCCAATTTTGTCTCTGCCACTGACTCGCTGTGTGTTCTGGGTGGGATCTCTTTGAACTTCTGTTTTCTTACCTGTAAAACGATCTGTTGGTACCCAGTTTGACACTTTGGGAAATAGGGAAGGAGTTTTATATATAAAGTTGGTGGACAAGAGTAAGTGGAAGAATGGAGGCAGATGTATTGTTGGGATTTGAATTTGTTGTCCACTTAGAGCTTTGTGCCAGGCATTTTATTTTTTAAAAAAAGGGGGGGGGGAGAAAAGGACTTCTGTAATTTCAGCCATTCATAAAGCTGAGAAAGATTGCAAGTTCAAGAGGAGACTCAAAACTTAGTGGAGAGGGGATGGCTGAGTTGTGGCTCAGTGGTAAAGTGCTTGCCGAGCATATGTGAAGCACTGGGTTCCAGTCTCAGCACCACATATGCATAAAAAAATAAGTAAAGGTCCATTGAAAACTTAAAAAAAAAAAAAAAGTTAGGGCCTGGGCATATTACTCAGTAGAGTGCTTGCCTCGCATGCACAAGGCCCTGGGTTCAATCCCCAGCACCTCCACCAAAAAAAAGAACAACTTAGTGAGACCCTGTCTCAAAATCAATTAAAAGGGCTGTGGATGTAGCTCAGTGGTAAACCACCCCTGGTTTCAATCCCAGTACTGCAAACAAAAAAGGAGAAAAAGTGACCCCATATCTTCTGGGAGAAGAGCATGAGGATGGCTATTAGAACAAAACAGGACCAGGAGGAAACTATGGAGAAGGTTTACAGTCTGCCCTCAAGCTTCTAATATGATGAAACAACAAGCCAAAATGTTCCCTGCCTCCCGAGGTCATACTCTGTCTCTTCCCCTCCCAGCTGACTGCTGTCCATCTTGTGGATTCTCATTACTGCACAGACCCAGCCAAGTTCATCTCAGTATTATGTACCTCTCTGGCCACCATGTTGCATGTGGAGCTGCCACACGTCAACCTCCTCTCCAAGATGGACCTCATTGAGCATTATGGGAAACTGGGTAAGAGTTCCTGTTTTGGGTTGGCAAAGAATAGGGCAGCAGCTGGGCTGGAGTGAAAAAGATCTCAGCTGAAGAACGCTACCTCTGGGACCTTGCGTGGTAGCAGCCATAGCGGGTCCTAACTTCTGCCCGTTTATTTTGTGCCACATGCTATTGTAGATTTTCGAGATAAGAGGGCTACAGATGTTAATGTGTTAAGGAAACAAGGTGATAAGACAGTGAGTGGCTGGGAGGGAAGAATGTCTTACTGCTCTTAGGCAGTGACATCTGAATGGTGAAGAGCCAATTAAAGGAGGACTGTTCTAGGCAGAGGGTCCAGTAAGGGTAAAGGCTTTGTGTTGGTTTGGGCTGCAAAAATACCATTAGCCACATGGTTTAAACAGCAAACATTTATTTCTGTTTTGGAGACTGAGAAGTCTTAAGATCCAAGGTTTGGTGAGAGCCTCCTCCTGACTTGTGAACAGCCACCTTATGACACTGTCCTCACATAGCAGAGATGCAGGGGAGTTGTCTAGGATCCCAGTGGCCAACATTTTTCTCCTGCTGAATTAGTGCTCTGTTGTACCAGAGGTGTTGGTTCCCTAAATAGCATATCCAGCCATAAAGGAGCTTACAGAAGAAAAGCTAAAATGACTAGTACACAGGGAGGGAGGTTGTTGGGGGAAGTGAAGTGACATTGACCTTATTCAGGGAGGTTAACTACCTCTCAAGACATGAAGGGATGTCAGTACATTGAGAGGAGCCACCTCATCTCAGGACATTCCTGCCAAGGAGCCCAAATGCTTGACTTTTCTGGGCAGAAATGGACAGTGTAGGGAGACCTACTTTCCTTCTTTCAGTGGGAAATTAATTCACAGAACTGACTCAGGGACCTCAGAGCATCTATTTGGGTCTCCTTGTTTTATATTAAGAAGGAACTGGGGGCTGGGGATGTGGCTGAAGCGATAGTGTGCTCGCCTGGCATGCGTGCGGCCCAGGTTCGATCCTCAGCACTACATACAAACAAAGATGTTGTGTTCGCCGAAAACTAAAAAATAAATATTAAAAAAAAAAAAAAAAGAAGGAACTGGGCTGGGGTTGTGGCTCAGTGGTAGAGCACTTGTCTAGCATGTTCAAGGCACTGGGTTCAGTTCTCAGCACCACATATATAAATAAGTAAATAGGGCTGGGGATGTGGCTCAAGCGGTAGCGCGCTCGCCTGGCATGCGTACGGCCCGGGTTCGATCCTCAGCACCACATACAAAGATGTTGTGTATGCCGAGAACTAAAAAAAAATAAATATTAAAAAATTTAAAAAAAAATAAATAAATAAGTAAATAAAATAAAGATCCTTGAACAACTAATAAAAATATTTTTAAAAAAGGAGGAACAGTCTTACAAAGGGAAAATGATTTACCCAAGAGGCCATGCCTGGAATGTATCAGTAATTCAACTGGACCAGTACTTACAGAGTCCTTGTAGTGTGTGTGTTCCAGGCCCTGCAGGTGCTACGAGGCTGAGCTTCATGAGGCAGGGACTAAACACAGTTCTCAATACCTATTTGAAATTGTTATTTACTACCATTAGTCACCTATAAACGAGGTGCTCCGGTTTATAGCTTTTAATGCTTACAATGGAGATGGAGACCTGTCCATATAGCTAGTAAGTGACGGAGATAGCTGGTGAAACCAAGTATTTCTTATTAACTTCATTTCACGGCAGCAAGAAGTATGGAGTGACTAAAGAAAATACATCTGCCCCAGTCTTTGCGGGTTTTAAATATTTTGGCAGTACTTGGATCAAGTCCAGTGCCTTGCACATGCTAGGCAAGCACTCTATGACTTAGCTACACCCAAAGCCCATATATTATGGCCTTTTTTTTTTTTTTGCCTCCATTGGGTGTAGGGAGCCAGGGCCTCATGCTTAGTAAGTGTCTATGTTACCACCAAGCAACATCCTCAGCCCTTCAGTCCTCAGGTCTTCAGCCTGATGCTGGCTGCTCCTGAACCCTGGTTTCTCCCCTTAGCCTTCAACCTGGACTACTACACAGAGGTCCTTGACCTCTCCTATCTGCTTGACCACCTGGCTTCTGACCCTTTCTTCCGCCACTACCGCCAGCTCAACGAGAAACTGGTGCAGCTCATTGAAGACTACAGCCTGGTCTCCTTTATCCCTCTGAACATACAGGTACTGAGAGATCTCTTCCCCTTGGCAATACACTCTGGCATGCCTGGGATTCATTAGCCAAGGGCATATAAAGCTTTCAGAGCTTAAACAATGGTCTCTGTCTTGAGTCTATCATTGGGCTCTCTTGTATTCTGGAGCAGGTCCTGTAGTGGGCAGGATTTAGTTTGCCCTATCTGTTGTATATCACTGGATCCTCTCTACACATTTTTTCCTCAGTGTGAAAATGGATGAATGCAGAAAGTTATCAACAAGGGACTTGACTAGTAACAAGTGTGATTAGGCCCATTTATCTGGGTAACTGTTGACTTTGCAAAGCAGTATCCCACCTCTGTGCGTCTCATCTTGCTTTCTGCAAAGATACGTAGGAAACTCAGATGCTGTTAGATTCCTTTGCAGTTGGTAGACTTGAACTAACTTGTCTTATTTCTTTTTCTTTTCTGTTTTTTTGGTCTTTCTTTATTTTCGTGTGTGTGTGTGTGTGTGTGTGTTTACTGGGGATTGAACCCAGGCCTGAGCTACATCCCCAGTCCTTTTTATTTTGAGACAAAGTCTTTCTAATTTTCTGAGGGTCCTACTAAATATTTGAGGCTGGCCTTGAACTTACAATTCTCCTGCCTCCAGAATTACTGGGATTACATGTGTGTGCCACACCCCCAGACCTTTTTATTTTTATTTTGAGAGCAGGTCTTGCTAAGTTGTTGAGGCTGGCCTCAAATTTGTGATCTTCCTGCTCTGGCCTCCCAAGTAGCTAGAATAAACCCAGTGGACTGAATGTTCATAAAGGAGCTTATCCATTCTGATCCGGATGGGTTGGTAGTCAGGAAAGATGGGATTTAGCTAGGCCTCTGGGACACACAGAACTACTCCAGGAAGCTACATGCACAAGAGCATTATGAGTGAGGAGTGAGGAGGATGTGTTTGGAGATTGTAGGCCATTTGGTATAGCCTCAATTCTGCATACCTGTCTTTCACTCATTTATTTATTCTCCATGCTCAGGACAAGGACAGCATCCAGCGAGTCCTACAGGCTGTGGATAAGGCCAACGGCTACTGTTTTGGGGTACAAGAGCAGCGAAGCTTGGAGGCCATGATGTCTGCCGCAGTGGGAGCTGACTTCCATTTCTCCTCGTATCCTTACTCCCTAGACTCACCTGCTTCCTGGCCACAGTTGGAGTATAAAGCATGGGGTGCAGGAATGGCCATGGGAGGTGCCATCACCACCCTGGTGGTGACCAGTTGGCTCTCTGGTGACTATCTTTCTTATGTGCAAAGGTTGGTCCCTTAGAATGCTTCAGGGTGGCTGTACTCAGAACAAAGGAGGATATTGACTGGAAATGTAGTAGCTACAGAGGCCTAAAAATGTAAGGGCATTTGCTCACTAGGGAAAAGTGCAAAGGGTTCAGTTTGCCTGGTGTGTTGCATGTGAAGGGGGAAGAGATGCCGGCATGAGGGAAAGTGGGCAGGACTCGCAGTGGAGGGCCTGAGTGTTCTGCTGGAGTGCGGCCTTCAGCTCAGGGCAGAGAGCCAGCGTTCAGTAAGTACTAAGAGTTGGACCCCCGAGTTTATGGCTTAGACAGTGGGATGTGCTAGTTAACTGGGATGAGGAGGAGGAGGATGGGTGGGGAGGGAGATGCACAGGTGTAATCCCAGCAACTTGGGAGGCTGAGGCAGGAGGGCTGCAAGTTTGAAGCAAGCCTGGGCAACTTAGTGAGACCCTGTCTTAAAATAAAAAAAATAAGGGCTAGGGATGTGGCTCAGTGGTCTAGTACCTGTGGATTCACTTCCTAGAATCCCCCCACATACACACAAAAGGAGGGGGCAGGTTTCTCATTTGAAGGGATGAGAGCTGGCAGATGTGCTATTTAAGAGGGTCATTGGACATCTAGAGCTGTCTAAGAGACAAATCTTTGGAACTGGGTTATTGACCAGTAGGGGTGTCCCTCAGGTCACAGAGGCTATGGTCTGAGAGATTCAGCATCTACATAAGAAGCTGGAGACAAAGGGGGCTCCAGAGTCCTTGGGTATAGAGGAAAGTAATTCTAGCCAACACTTATTCAGGCCGTTTTACATGTAGGAAACAAAACTCCAAGGACAAATGAGTTATAAAATGATGGCAGTAAGATGGGCATGATACCACACACCAGTAAACCCAGATTCTTAGGAGGCTGAGGCTGAAGGAGTGCAAGTTCAAGCCCAGCTTTGGCAACATTGTGAGACCCTGCCTCGGAAAACTAATAAATTAATTATGGCAGTACAATGAGCAGGACCAAGGAGCTGCTTCACACATGCAGTCACTTTCTGCAGCCAAGAAGAGATTTATCATTTTATTTGAGCCTCCATATGTTCTTTTCTTGGCAATGAAGTGACAAATTTTATTGAGGACCTACTATATGCCAACCACAATACTAGGAACTTCATATTCACAGTCTCATTTGATCCTCACAACAGCTTTCAAGTGATATTTTACAGAGAAGAAAAAAGGAATGGCAAAAATCAGAATTTGAGAGGCTGGATTGTAGCTCAGTGGTAGATTACTCACCTTGCATGTGGAAGGCACTGGGTTCAATCCTCAGCACCACATAAAAGTAAAATTAAGGCATTGTATCTATCTACAACTAAAAAAATACATATTAAAAAAAAATCAGGATTTGAACCTCTTCTCTCTGGCTCTGTAGCATGTGCCCTAACAAAGCTGGAAGGTTAGCGCTCTGTGGTCCTCTGATCTTCAGCTATGTGGGAAAGAAACAAATATAGACACATATACATCTGGAGGCTTTAGAGACTTCTCAGACCTAATTGGTCCCTTTTACCTGTGGCCTGAGACTTCACTTATGAGGAAAGAGGGGGATGGGAGGAGTCTGCTAGATATGGTTGGAGGGTGGGCCTCAGTAGAGGTTAAGTACCGCCCAGACCAGTCCTCCGTCCTGTGCCTACTGTCAGCCTTGACTCACCCTTCCCCAGCACGCTGGGCCTCCAAGAGAAGTACCTGGCACCCTCGGACCAGTCAGTGGAACAAGAAGCCATGCAGCTATAGCAACAAGCTGGGCCCTGATGCATAACCCAGCACTGGGGAAAGTGGAGGCTCCTTATAAGCAGCAGACAGCTCACAGGCTGCAGACCCAAGAGCAGGTCCTCCAGCTGGCAAAGGACTTCTGGACAAAAAGCCAGGCATGACAAAGAGCAGAGCACCTACAGTTCCCTCAGTGATGCCCTGGGCTCTGGGCCCTGCTGCACCAGAAGTACCACCAGCAGGCTGAACACTGGCTTTCCTTGGGTTTTGATGAAATGCACATAATAGAGTTTATTTTCTACTTTTTGTGGCTTTAAACTTTTCTTCAATCCTTCAGGCCCAGGGAATTGGGGCAGAACAAGAGACCCTCCAGAGGGTCATGTTTCTTCATACAGGTCAGTGTTTCCCCGTAGTGCAGACTCAGCTGTACGAGAGGATTGACTCCTACTCTCCAGTCATGTGCTTTTGTCACTCTTCAGTTTTAACAGTGAACTTCACACTCAGACCTTCACAGGTGACATTTCCTAGCTAAACCTTATTTAATATTTTATTTTCGTTGTATTTATTTCATGATTTTGCTCTATTTTTGGCAAGTGTTAGCTTGTCAAAAGTTTGAAAGATTGTTTGCTTCAGATATGAAAAATGTATGCAAAGTGAGTTGTTTAAATAAAAATATTAGCCAGGCATAGTGGTGGTACACACCTGTAATTCCAGCAATTTGGGAAGCTGAGGCAGGAGGATTGCAAGTTTTAGGTCAGCCTCAGCAATTTAGCAAGACTGTCTTAAAAAAAAAGAAAAAAGTTCTGGGTGTGTAACTCAGTGCTAAAGTATCGCTGGGTTTAATCCCCAGTTACCCGCCTCTCCAAAAGAAAGAATTAAGTTGTTATGAGGGTGTGTAAAAATTAAGATGATTTGAAGCCAGGAAATACTGCTCTGTGCTTCCTTGACCATTCTTAATGCTGGATGGGAATGACATTCATATTTCCAACCAGGAGGTGGCACCCCAGACTTATTTTTGTGGTTGTAACCTGGCTGTTGGAGGGGACTCGGCTTAGGATGGGTTGTGCCAGCTGTCTCATTTGTATACACCTTCCAGCTGGTTAACATCTGTGAAGAATTTGACAGTTTATGAAGTGCCTCCACACACATCCTCAGGTGGTTATCACCACAACCCCTGGAGATTGACAAAGCAGGGACTGTCACTAAAGCATTACCCATTTTAGAAGGGGAAAACAGATGAGGAGTTGAAACTTACGTCAGCCTTGCTGTTTCCCAATTTTTTGAATTGTGTGTGTCTCTCCTTTGCTATTGATAGTTAACAGCCTTTGAACTGGAATATATCTCAGTGATAGAACACTTGCCTAGCATGTGTGAAGCCCCATGTTCAATCCCCAGACTTCAAAGGGGGTGGATTAGATAAGCTCTTAACCCACAGTATTTGTGGCCAAACATGAGAAAGAATTTAGGCATCTCTAAATGTTTTAAGACTACTAAATCATAAATTGAGGAGAAAGGTCGCTGGTGGTTTGAACAGTTGGATAATTCAGTTTAGGAAAATCTATTCTGAATCAGCATTAAAACAGGCACTGGCCCAGCATGGTGGCACACACCTATGATCCCAGTGGCTCGGGAAGCTGAGGCAGGAGGATCACAAGTTCAAAGCCAGCCTTAGCGAAAGAGAGATGCTAAGCAACTCAGTGAGACCCTGTCTTAATATAAAACAGGGCTGGGGATCTGGCTCAGTGGTCGAGAGCCCCTGAGTTCAATCCCTGATACCTAAAAAAAAACAGGCAGCTGATCTTTGCTTCCCAATTTTGGCACCTGGAGCTGAAAGCAGAAGAGTGGGGGGCTATGAGGAGGCTCCTGTAGCTGGAACAGTATGAAAGCAGACGACCTCAGCTCCCACGCTGGGCTATAGAGGGGATAATAACTGGGTGCTCCCTCCCTAGCCTCTTTCATCTGAGGAGTTCAAAGCACCTTACCTCCATTAACACCCTGCACAGTAGGTGGGAGTACCCACAGAATAAGTCAGGGAAACTGAGGCCAGGAGGCACAGCCTGGGGCTGGCTGTGAGTCACCTGTAGGGCCTGGAGCCCAGGAATCCTGACGCCCAGGCTGCTGGACAAGTCCTTCATCAGGGTGTGAGGTGGGTGCTGTGTTTTTTAAACAGTATCAATAGCTGTGGTCATGGGTTTTAATGCTTACCCATCAGAGGCTCCGACTCCCACCAAAACAAGTCAGGTGTGGGGGCTGGAGCGTGTCATTTACAACTTTATGGCCTCATATCCAAGAGCCCTATGCATTTATTCTCTCTAGTCATGCAGTAGAGATGGATGGAAATAATCCAGAACCTTATTTTCAGGCCTCAATTTTTTTTTCCCCTCAATAAATGTAGTTCCTGGGCTGGGGATGTGGCTCAAGTGGTAGTGCGCTCGCCTGGCATGTGTGCCGCTCTGTTCAATCCTCAGCACCACATACAAACAAAGATGTTGTGTCCGCCGAAAACTAAACAATAAATATTTAAATTCTCTCTCTCTCTCTCTAAAAAAAAAAAAAAAAATGTAGTTCCTGGTGGTTGGGGAGAGGGGCTCACTGGTACAGTGCTTGCCTAGCACATGTGAGGCACTAGGCTCCATTCTCAGAACCGTATAAATAAGAATAAATAAAGGTCGACAACTAAAAAAAATTTTTTTTAATGAAAATAAATATAGTCTCCAAGCAAAATGATTTTCATTTCCTTGTGCATGCACTGAGGTGATGGCATAGGGAAAGCACAGTATAAAGGGAGAGATGTCTGTGAGGCTCATTCAATATGAAATGGGCAGGAAAGGACCATGTTCCAATGTGGCTGACACACAGCAGTCAACCTTATGACTATTTTTTTTTCTTTCCAGATAAAATAACTTGGAAAATGAAAAAAGAAGTAAGTCACCCACAATCCTATTTCAGAAATAATCATTAGCATTTATAATTAATAATAAATTTTTTTCCTTTTCCTTTTTTTGGGGGGCAGGGTAAGTGAATTGAACCCAGAGATACCCTACCATTGAACTATATCCCCAGCCCTTTTTATTTTTTATTTGAGACAGAATTTGGCTAAGTTGCCCAGCCCGGAACTTGCCATCCTTCTGCCTTGGCCTCCCAAGTAGCTTAGCCCAGCCAATAATAAATTTCTGATTCAGATGTATTCTTTCAATCTTATTTTTCTCTACATAAGGGTGATACCATTTATATCACTGGGATATTTTATAATTGCCTTGTTTGCTTGCTTGTTTTGGTACTGGGAGTAAAATCCAGGGCCTTGTGCAAGCTGAGGCGAGTGCTCCGCTCCTGAGCTACATCCCCAGATCTTTTTATTTTGAGATAGGGTCTTACTAAGTTGCCCAGGCTGACCTGGGATTTGTGGTCCTCCTGCCTCAGTTTCCAGAGTACCTGGGATTGCCGAACCCAGTTGTATCCCACTGTTTTCAGTTACACTATTCCATGTAATTAAAAAATATATAAAAACCTTTCTAATGTGTACATAATAACATTTGGTGGTATGGCTATAACCTTGTTTACCTATCCAGACTCCCATGGTTAGCCTATAAGTCACTACCAAGTACTATGGCTAATTAAGAAGTATCCCCCAAAGGATTATGTGTTGAAGGCCTGATCCCCAATGCAGCGATGTTCAGAGGTGGGCCTTTGGGAAGTGACTGGATTATGAGGGCTCTGATCTTATCTGTGGATTGATCCATTTATGGCTTCATAATTTAAATGGACTTTTGGGAGATGATGAAAACCATAGGAGTTGGGACCTAATTGAAGAGACTGGGTTCTTGGGGATGTGGTTGTCCACAGGCCCCCTTCTTCTTTCTCTCTGCTTCCTGACTACCATGAGGAGAACAGCTTTGCTCTGCCACACCCTTCTGCCATGGTGAACTGCCTCATCACAGGCCCAGGAACAGTGGAGCCAGCCAACCATTGACTGAAACCATAAGCCAAAATAGATCTTTCCTTTAAGTTGATTTTTCAGGTGTTTTGTCACAGCAATGAAAAACTAATACACCAAGCTTTTGTAATGGAAAATAGTTCTATGATTAACATTTTTGTACCCTAATCTTTGTCTGAGTCTCTGATTTTTAACTCAAGTGAAATAGCTCACATATCCCAGGTTCTGGATTCATATTACTGAAATCCTTCCTAAGAGAGTGCTACTTTAGGGCCGGGGTTGTGGCTCAGTGGTAGCGTGCTCACCTAGCACGTGCAAGGCCCTGGGTTCCATTCTCAGCACCACATAAGTAAACAAAATAAAGATATTGTGTCCAACTACAACTAAAAAAATAAATATTAAAAGAAAAAGAGAGTGCCACTTTATGTCTTACTGAGTCATTCTTCCTGATATCTCTACTGGCCTTACCATTAGGATCTGTGCATTTCTTGACTCTGAAGTGGAGACTCCAATACTTGGAACACAGTGTGAAATTTGGAAGAACTCACTAGGGACCACAGATCATTGGTTCCCAGCCTAACAAAAAGGCTTAAGAGGGAGGGAGCCCTACAGCCCACAGTGCTGAAACATACCCAGTCTGTATGAGTTAGCAAAATGCTCACCAACAGCTGGCTCACGATGAGAAGTTTGATTCCATCAGGATCTGTAGGAAGAAGAAAGGGAAGGTAGATTTGAGGGATTTTCAGTCCTGTCTCAAGAATCCTGAGAGGGAGCCAGGTGTGGTAATATAAACCTATAAGCCTAGCCACTTGGGAGGCTGAAACACAAGGATCACAAATTTGAGGCCAGCCTGGGCAACTTAGAAGACCCTGTCTCAAAATTAAAAATTAAATGGCCAAGTGTGGCAGTGCACTCCTGTAATCCCAGCAATTTGGGAGATTGAGGCAGGAGGATTTCAAGTTTCAAAGCCAGCTTCAGCAACTTAACAGGGCCCTCAGCAGGACCCTGTCTCAAAATATAAAAAAGAGCTGGGGATGTGGCTCAGTGGTTGCATACCCCTGAGTTCAATCCCCAGTACCAAAAAACCCCAAAAAGGGTTGGGGATATAGCTCAGAGTGCCCCTGTGTTCAATGCCACCAAAAAAAAAAAAAATCCTGAGAGGGTGGGGGTGACTTTAGACAGACATACCCAACACTATTAAGTCTCCTACGGATCCCTCCTCTCCTTTACCTTCTCTTTTCTCTTACCCCTGCTACTGAGCCCTGACCCAAACTGATCTGGGCTGCCCACTCCCTCTTCTTCTCCTGTTTAGAAAAGAGAACCCCAGATTAGCATACATCTGCTGTGGCTTCATGCCTACTGAGGATAAGGGAAAACACATGTCTCATTTCCCACCCATTGTATCCCTTCTTTTCCTGCCAGGGAACTAGCTCCAGACAGTTTCAGAGGCCCAAGTGTTCAGGTTGGCTAAGACTGATGGGCTCTGGATGAGCTGGGCATTTGACGCTTGTGAGGTTAAAAAAAGTTGAGTACTGGGGCTGGGGATGTGGCTCAAGTGGTAGCGCGCTGGCCTGGTATGTGCGAGGCACTAGGTTCGATCCTCAGCACCACATAAAAATAAATAAAGATGTTACGTCCACCTCAAACAACAACAACAACAACAAAAAAAAAATATATATATATATATAAAATTTGAGTACTAATAAGATGCTCTAGTGAGAATACACAGCAAGGTTTTAGTTTTAGTTTCAGTTTTACCCTCCTCATTCCAAAAACCTGAAGCAGATATGAAGGAGGGAAAGAAGAAACCCCTTATAAATCATCCCAAATAGAGCTGGGTATGGTGGCACAAGCTTGTAGTCCCAGCTACTTGGGAGGCTGAAGTGGGAGGATTGGTTGAGCCTGAGTTCAAAGACAGTCTGGGCAACACAGCCAGACCCTGTTGCTGTCTCGTTCCCAGCCCCACCCCAATACTGGGGATTGAACCCAGGGTACTTCACCACCAAGTCACATCCCCAGCCCCTTTTATTTTGAGACAGGGTCTCACTAAGTTGCTTAGGGTCTTGCTTAGTTGCTGAGGCTGGCCTTGAACTTTAAATCCTCTTGCCTCAGTCTCCCAAGTCACTAGGAGTTGTAAGTATGCACCCAGCTCAGACCATGTCTTTAAATTTTTTTAAATAAAATTTTAAAATCCCAAGTAAATATCAGGTCCTAAGCAACATGCTTGCTATGTAAATTTAGCTTCAAGAAATATCTCCTGGTGCTTCCCTTTGCACTGGGTCATGACCTCTGAATTCTTCCAGTCTTTTAATTCTGGCACCTCCACACTGCTTTGTGGAGTTACAGAAACAGCAAAGGAGGGAGATTGGGATTTGAGAAAGATTTTCCCCAATTTGTAAGTCATACCAGAGGTCACATAATCTATTTTGAGCTAAAATTCAGTCCCCACTGTAGTCAAACAAGGAGATTGAAGCTTCTCTCTGGAAAATAAAAGAGAAAATGTGCCTGCCTTCCTACCATCTGCCTCCTTCCCCTTTTCCTTTCCTTCTTTCCATTCTTCCCTTACAATAAACATTTATTGGCTACCATAATCTGATTTTTAAATGCAGTACCACTCACAGATTAGAAGACTCCGTGCTTTTAAGAGTCCAGGATTTCTCTAATCTCTAGACAAAGAGTTACAATTCCCAGAGCTGTAAGAAGATTGGGTGGAGATGAGAAATGAATCATCCTCTGGCACCCCCAGGGTGACATACCTGTTTACTGCCCCCACAGACATTCCTGGCTCCTGATTCAATGAGTAGGTGAGGCTGGGGGGGGGGGGTGGACGGGTATCCTAAGGGGAGGGGAACCTGCCCTCAGAAACCTGCCTTCTCTACCCCAAACAAAGCAGGGATGTGGACTGTGTGAGGTGGGCCCTGTGAATAGAGTGAAGAATTTAAAGGAATAAGGAATAGAACCAGGTCAAGGAAACGTTAACTTGGTGAGTGAGCCAGAAAACTGGTCCACTCTACAATCATTTAAGACAATTTCTTTCTGCCAAGCTCTGGAGTGGTCAGATTGAGAGTAGAGTAAGAAAAAGGCTTTCTTGTTTCTTGGAAAGTCCAAACAGAAACAGAGTATCACAGCACAATGTGGTTCTTTTCAAACTTATTTTTAACTCATGAAACTCCAATATACAAAACAGACATATGTGTGGCTATTTTAGCCGAAGTTGTGTGAAAATAGGAAACCCAGACAACCTGTGCTTCTATCCCATGGCAGCTTCTAGGGAGCTCTGTAAACACAGTTTGAAAATAACTGTAGTTGCTTAAAGATCGTGAGGCTTGAAGTCAGCTCCTCTCCTACTCTTAACACATAAGCAGTTTTATGACCTTAGTTATTAGGTGATTTAGCTGCTCTGAGCCTCAGTCTCTGCATATGCAAAGGAAACATGGTAATATGCATTGCTGTGAGGATTAAGGTATGAAACTACTTAGCACATATAAGTGATGTGAGCTGTACTCTGATCTCTAGTCAAGAGCTGGAGAGGGGCACTAATGGTCAGAAGAGCAATCTTGGTGCAAACATCTGAAATAAGTTTTCTTAAAAAACAAGGGATATTTGGATATTGTGTGTGTGTGTGTGTGTGTGTATGTGAGAGAGAGAGAGAGAGAGAGAGAGAGAGAGAGAGAGAGAGAGAGAGAGAGAGAGAGAGAGAGCGCAATGGGGAGGAGTACCTTGCTTTTCTGGAAGGAACCACAGTGGCCTGCCTGACCCAGTGACTTGACCTTACCTGAGGTAACTGCTTTGTTCTGAGAAGGCAGTAGTACCTTTGCTAGAGAATTTTATATTGCAAATTTTCCCTGTTACTACTCAAATTCTTAGGAGGGAAATCTTCATAAGCCCTGGGTCTCCATTTCCTGGAAGGATAATCTGGCAGCGTAGAAAGGATAGGACTGGGGTTGCTTGAATCTTCGTGAGCCTGGTCTCTGTCTAGACAGCCCTGTCTCATCTTAGGACCAGCCGTATCTCTTTTTCCAGAATAGAGAATCTGGCACTAACCTCACTCCAGGCATTTTTAAGAGGGTTTTAAACTCAGGTTCTGTCTTGCTGGAGTCACTGTGGGAAAAAAGAAATAATAAGACACACCATTTTTAGGGAACTCTATGAGAGAAATAAACCCAGGATATAGCCGCAAACTCACAGGTAGAATCAGATAGAAATGAAATTATAATTAAATAAATGCACCTATGTAAATGTAAGGGGTTAGGGGCTGAGGGTGTAGCTCAATTGTAGAGCACTTGCCTCATATGCATGAGGCCCTGAGTTCAAGTTTCAGCACAGTAATAAATACATAAATAAGTAATAATAAATAAAAATGGTAAAAACAGCATATCTTATCTCTGTTTATATGTTAACAGGAAAGGGAAGGTGGCTAGTCAATTTTTTTTTTGTGTGTGTGTGTGTGTATGTGTGTATCAGGGATTGAACTCAGGGGCATTCAACCACTGAGCCACATCCCCAGTACTATATTGTATTTTATTTAGAGACAGGGTCTCACTGAGTTGCTTAGCACTTCACTTTTTGTTGAGGCTGTCTTTGAACTTGTGATCCTCCTGTCTCAGCCTCCCAAGCTGTTGGGATTACAAGCGTGTGCCACTGCACCTGGCCAGCTAGTCAAATTTTGATTTAGGAGTTGAGGTTGCTCAGTGATAGAGCACTCGCCTAGCATGTGCGAGAGCGTGGGTTCGATCCTCAGCACCACATAAAAATAAATAAATAATATAAAGGTATTGTGTCCAACTACAACTAAAGAAAAAATAAAAATATTAAAAAAATTTTTTTGACTTAATGTGACTTTGAAATTTGGAAAAGGTTAAAAAAATGATCAAGTGAAAGTAATGGATAGCCACCATGAAATTTCAAAAGGAACTTGGCATTTTTATCTGTTTTGCCTTTTGAGACAGATTTTTAAAAAATATCCTTGCTGGGGATTGAGCCCAGGGATTTTCACATAGTAGGCAAGCACTCTACACAAGCTATACATTTAGCCTCTGGATAGACTTTTCAATCGAGATATAATTGACATACCATAAATTTCACCATTCTTCAGTGTTCAGCTCAGTTCATATTCACAAAGTTGTGCAACTTCACAGTATTTAAAATTAGAACATTTTATCACCCCC